ACAAATGAAAATCCATTGAAAATAATGCCTTCGGTGTAAAAAATTTTTTCACAATACAAAGCAAGTTTCTCCAGGATGCATTGCACCTGGGAGGTTTATAGCGCCGCCCCCTGCATGTTGGAGCCTCTGGATAGCACGTGGCATCTAGTGTGGAGGTGTTGGAGCGGCTTTTGCATTGAGTTTTGGAGCCATTCTGGAAATAGTTTGCAGTTGTTTTGGGACTTTTTGGTGCATTTCTCAAGCTGTGGAAAGGTAGGGAGCTGAGCTTTGTCGTTTGCATGCCTTTTATTGTGTGTTCTGTATTGTGGGTTGGTTTCCATGCCAGCTCATTTTGACTTTTTTCTGACCTCCCGAACAGATTAATTGGTTTTCAATGCATTCCTATGGGAAACCATGTTTAAATTTTTTTCGGAATATGAAACATCCCGGAGAACGCATTATTCGTAAACCAAGGTCCCACTGTATTGATACCTGTGACAGATCCATCTGTATAGACTAAGATTGCTGGCTCGTCTGTTTTGCCTTTTTGTGGAATTACCCGTTCGTATGCCCCTATTCAGTGAATTGACTTTTCCGCCGAACAAAATTAACGGACGGCCACCCAGAAGAGAAGTGTGCTGGTGGTTAACCTCTTGATCCCAATTAGACCGTTGCGGTTAACCGCAGACACTTCTCAATTAAAACCAAATACAGGGTGGTCGTCGTTCGTATGTCAACCACGAGGCGGCGGCCATTTTAAACCATGCGAAAGACCAGCGGTGTTCGGCATTGATTTCATGGAACTGAAAACAGACACTTTTTCAGCCGAACACCGCTGAAGCCGCCGACCTCCCTTCTCAATCGACAGAAGTGTGCGAACACCGGCCGTTCGGGAGGTTTAAACGCACGAATGGACTTACCCCAGATAGCCTTCCCATGGAGTCAATCGCATGCCGAAAGACTGTAATAGACTTTGACTCCATGGCGATTGAACTATGCGTATGGGATGAGCACTATTCACCAATAACATGCACTCAGATCCAGGCTATCTGGGGATATGTGATACGAATGGGTAACATTCGACAATTGTAAAGTTATGTATTTTTATATGTTTTTCTGTGTTGAATTTAAGATGGCGATTTGCCTCTGTCCTGGAGATAATTGAATTACTTCTCAATTATCTCCAGGGCAGAGGGGAGGAAATACTAATGCATGCTGGGAATATTCTGTGTCTGTGGGTCCTACCCTGCCATATGTCTGTCTATTGTTACAGTCTCCCATTTGGTCCCCTAGGGGAGTGTCCACCAAGTGGGAGACCTGCATAAATACGGGCAGGTAGCCCACAGTAAAGCCAGTTCTTGTTTTACCCTCAATGCAGAGCTTGGTCTCGTTATTGGGGGGATTTATTACCGACGACTAGAGACTGCCGGATGGGATTATTAGCCGCTTGGGAGATATATATGTTCGGCTACTATTGGCGATTCGTGAGTTTGGAGCTCATGGAGTGAAGTGTCGGTACGGATCCCGTTAATGAGTTTACAGTGTTCCCCTGCTTGCGGTTCGCATGATTGTACTGGATATGCATGCAGCCTGTAGCGGAGTAGTAGTATTATCCACGGTATCTCTGCTGGTAGACAGAATCAAGCAGGCACAAAGCAGATAAAATCCAGGTAACGTAGTTACAATCCCTTCCTCCCAAGAACTAGACGACACATAGCTTGGAGGTCAACTGAGGTTTATTTTCAGGTCACGGTATTTATGGGATTCCCCATGCAAGGGGTTTCCCTACTGACATTACAGGGGTTGTACAGTAGGGGACTACATGGGGAACTGACCAACACATACATTTTTCCCATCATGTACTGCTGGACGAGAGGGATACTCCCACTGGAATATACCCTCCGTGCAGCAGAACTCACATTTTACATTGAAATACATAACTTTAATAATATTCACTTGTTTTACACGAATGGACGTTCGGTAGATAGCTGGAGGCTGAGCGCATCGTTCGTGAGAATACCGCTCAGCTCCCAGTCTAACTAACCGAACGCCGTACGAAATACACATTATTTCTAACATAGGTTTAAAATACCGATTATTATAAGGGGAATAAACTACCGAACGGCTGGGGTTCTCGAACGGCCTGGAAGTCCAGCGGTGTTCGCGCCGTCGAGTAGCCGTTTTTAGTTCCAGGCGGTCGACGACAAAACACCGCTGGGCTAACAAAAGAATCAAGATGGCCGACCGCCACGTGGTCGGTAGTCGAACAACGGCCACCTAGAAACACTTAATTACCGATTGCAACATTGTTGCAATCGGTTAATGGGCACCACACGACCCCCTGTGTGTGGTAGTGCATTCGGTAGGTTATTCGTTTCACGAACAGTGTTTAAACTCACTGTTTGTGAAACTACATTATGAATGCTGGGGTTTTCATACCGCTAGCATACGAATGCCCTCATTCGCCTGAAATACAAATAGCATTCTGCATTGATCTTTACGGCTTAGCAAAAATACACACATATTGATACATTAATAGTCTCTAGTGGCTAGTTTTGCCACACAGCCTATGCTATTGCGAGAGGGGAGCATTCACTTAACGGCGGTTTGTACATTTAATGCTGAGGGTACCGTAACAATACCTCTGTAAACCCACCAATGCGATTCGGATAAAAATCCATGCAAAAAACTGCGAAATAAAGAAATGAACACATTAAGAGGGCGATTAAAATGACAGGCATGCTGTTGTCCTTGGGTGCATCTCCCTGGCTGATGGAATTAAAGGTACACCAATATTGTCCAATCCAGTTAAAGCTGGATTACGGCCGGTACTCATTATAATGATTAAATAAAACCATCAGTAATAATCAAACCTATTGACGTGTATTGACGAGGCGAGTGGTAGATTTTTGAAACCTATAGTCACGCCAACCTACCCTGTGATATCCAATCCATTATAAGTTAGGACATTCAATGGAGATATATAATATATATTTATTTATTTATTTTTCCTATACATTTATGGCATTTTCCTATAAGTCTTTTTAATGCATAGAATTTTTAATACAAAAACATATTAAAAAAAAAAAAAGATACAACATGCTCCAAAGCCCTTGTCTGCATGGAATAAATCCAACTCTGAAATTACTGATTTAATAAATAATGTTGAAATGTTGCAGAGACTTGTCTGCATTTGGAGACATCTGTTGTCATCTGTTTTAAATAACAATATACCTGTGTTTAAAAGTATTAACCACTCAAAGCGTTCAAGTGAAATGTAACCTGGGAAAGCTGACGTGATAGCGTCAAGTGACCCGCGTGAGTTTGTAATGACAAGTAACACTCACTAATTCAGTAAATTGCGTCCGTCTAGCAAGCGAGACACAAGGCTGCTCCTGACAAGCAGAGTGTAAAATCGCCTCAATCTCTGTGTTTGACAGAAAAGATGAATGGATACATCAGGATACAATGTTTAAGTGTTTTATTCCTTATTTCAGCTTGTCAACCTGTCAGAGCGGCTAATAACTGCCAAGAGAGACAGAGAAAGAAAGTGAGAAGCAGCAAACTGAGCTGAACTACAAAAAAAAAAAAAAAGCATTTCTGCATAAATAAAAGGATCTAGTCACAAACCCATTGTGTTAAACCAGTTTCTCGGGTACCTAGAGGACCTGAAATGGGAAATGACCCCATTTATATAGCGTGAACTCCAAAACACAACGTATGTCTTCTTCAAAACTACATAGGCTGACACAAGATGTGTAAATGCATGTTATTGGCAAACGGGCAATTCAGGCGTTAAATACAACTGGCGAGAAAAAGAATGAAACCGAGTTTTACAAAAGAAGTTTTAATATCCTGTGTACAGGACGTTGTTAAATCATTGAGCAATCCATGTTACTCTGTACAGGACGATATCACTGGAACATTTTAATAAGATTGAGGAGGTGCTATCAGGTGATTATATAGGATGTCTCAGCAGTGAAACAGTTAACTGAAAGCCAAGGTTCAGGAAATAAACAGATAATACTAGGATAATAAATAAAGAAAAATAAATTAATGGTAAACCTGTAAATCTAACAAATAATATAAAGACAAGATACCAGTAATAATAGTACAGAAACACCAGGGAAATACAACTCAGGATATAACAAGACCTCCAGTGAATAGAGGATACAACGACAATGTACAGCACACTCGGGATACAACGACAATGTACAGGACACTCGGGGTACGAGGACAATGTACAGCACACTCGGGGTACGAGGACAATGTACAGCACACTCGGGGTACGAGGACAATGTACAGGACACTCGGGGTACGAGGACAATGTACAGCACACTCGGGGTACGAGGACAATGTACAGCACACTCGGGGTACGAGGACAATGTACAGCACACTCGGGGTACGAGGACAATGTACAGGACACTCGGGGTACGAGGACAGTGTACAGGACACTCGGGGTACGAGGACAGTGTACAGCACACTCGGGGTACAAGGACAATGTACAAGACACTCGGGGTACGAGGACAATGTACAGGACACTCGGGGTACAACGACATTGTACAGGACACTCGGGGTACGAGGACAATGTACAGCACACTCAGGGTACGAGGACAGTGTACAGGACACTCGGGGTACGAGGACAATGTACAGCACACTCGGGGTACGAGGACAGTGTACAGGACACTCGGGGTACGAGGACAATGTACAGGACACTCGGGGTACAAGGACAATGTACAGGGCACTCTATATACGAGGACAATGTACAGCACTGTAGCAGAGATCCAGTATTCCACAAGTTATCTCCACTTTAGATCCCAGTGAGGGTCAGGAACAAGTACCGTATATACTCATGTATAAGTCGATCTCATGTATAAGTCGAGTGCAGTTTTGTGACCAACAATTGTGAAATATGTTATGCCTCGTGGATAAGTCGAGGGTAAAACTTGGGGCTATGAAATTCTGTGATTTTTATAATTATATACACACACACTCTGCATTATATACACACACACTTATACAAACACACACTCTGCATTATATACACACACTCTGTGTATATAATGCAGAGTGTGTATATAATGCAGAGTGTGTGAACTGGGTGGGGGGAGGGCATTTTTATTATTTTAATTTTTTTTTATTTTAATATTATTATTTTTTTATTATTTAAAAAAAAAAATTTGTCCCCCCCTGCCTGCTTGTTAACTGGTCAGGGAGGGGGGCTATCTTAATCCCTGGTGGTCCAGTGGCATGGGCTGTGAAGTGGGGGGGCCGGCAGGAGGCATTTACTTACCTTTCCTGCAGCTCCTGTCAGCTCCCTTCTCCTCCGTTCCGGTCAGCTCCACTGTAAGTCTCGCGGTATGGTTGCCGCGCGGATCGTTGCCATGGCTCTGACGGCCGCGGCTCTCTAAGTTGCCATAATACAAACAGTGACTCGAGTATAAGTCGAGTGGGGGGTTTTAAGCACAAAAAATGTGCTGAAAAACTAGACTTATACTCGAGTATATACTGTAGTTATAAATCCATAAAGCAAGGTTTCAGCAGGTAAAACAATATAGCAATATCCCAACAGCAATCCCAATAACTGGACGACACACAGCATCAGGAGCAGAACTAAACCTTTATTTTCGCAGTGGCCTTATAAAGCATGCTACCATGCAAGGGAGGGATTTTCATTTATTACTACAGTATCCAGTCCGGTACTAGTACCCTCCCACACATCTCCTCCCCTCAGCCTGACTCATAATCCCCTTATACTGTACCCAAATTCCCCCAGTTTCTGGATGTACCTCTAAATGGCACATCCCCTGGTAGCTCTCATCTGGGTGAGCAACATATCCAAAAATCACCCAGATCGGACCAGGGGTTCGGGAAATTCGTGGAGGTAATAAAAAGACCGACAGGTCACAGTATAAGGGAATAAATTGCATGAAAGGCTAAGGCTACAGAGATCAGGTAGGGTTCGCATAAATCCCCTCGTTCGGTTGTTTCTGTCTACCGAACGTGGGGCCGTTCGGTAGTTTGGAACCGAACGGACCGGGCTTGTGGAGGTCTCAGGGGTGTTCGTCTAGTCGAGTGTCCGATTTGGGTTCCAGACACTCGACGGCAAAACACCGCTGTTGGAGTTTTAAAATGGCCGCCGCCACGTGTTCGTTTCCCAAATGGCGGCCACCCCGAGAACAAAGGACCTACTGCACAGCTTGTTAATTACCCATTCGCAACATTGTTGCAACAGGTAATTGAAGGCACACTTCACACAGGGGAGGTCTGACTGTTCGGTAGTTTCATTCCCTTAGTTTGTTCGAATGATTCTACCGAAAAATCAGATGAATACACGTTATTTAGACACATATAAACCTGCAATTTACACGAATACAGTTACACATATGCAATTTTCAGGACAGCCCAGTGCCATCCGCTACACTGCTCCCCCTTGCCCACAAGCCGGCATACACAGTCTGATCCAGCACGGATCGGCTTGGGGATGTCCGGGGGCTCACGGATCACTTCTCCAGGTCAGTTTGTCTTGACAACCCGTCGGCATTCCCATTCTGTTTACCCGGGCAGTATTGGATATTAAAGTCAAAGGGCTGCAGCGCCAAGCTCCAGCGTAGCAGCCTGGCATTGTCCCCAGCCACCCGGTTCAGCCATACCAACGGGTTGTGATCCGTGAGTAATGGAAAGGGCTGTCCATACTGTAGCGGATGGCACCAGGCTATCCTGCAAATATATTGTACATAACTGCATTCGTGTGATCTGCTGTGTTATATGTCTTTTAAAAGAATTGTATTCCTCTGATTGTTCGGTAGTTTCATTCCCTTAGCTCATTCGAATGAAACTACCGAACAACCAGACCTCCCCTGTGTGAAGTGTGTCCTCAATTACCCGTTGCAACATTGTTGCGAACGGGTAATTGCCTAGTAAGTAGCCGTCCTTTGTTCTCGTGGCGGCGGCCATTTTAAAACTCCCGAACAGCGGTGTTTTGCCGTCGAGTGTCTGGAACTAAAATCGGACACTCGAGTAGGCGAACACCGCTGAGACCTCCACAAGCCCGGTCCGTTCGGTTCCTAACTACCGAACGGCCCCTCATTCGGTAGATAGAAAATACCGAACGAGGGGATTCAGGCGAACCCTCCCTAGCCTCTATAGCTAGAGGTTTTCGTATATTTTATTCCCTTATGCCAGGACCGACCGCAGGGCCCATTCACATGGAACCGAATTCGGCTATCTCAGTTCGTGCGGTCGGTCATTTTATTCCCCCCATACTTTTCCCGAACCCCTGGTCTGATCTGGGTGATTTTTGGATATGTTGTTCACCCAGATCAGGGCTATCAGGGGGTGTAGGATTTAAAGGGGTACCCCTACGTTTAGGGGTACATCCAGAAACGGGGGGAATTACTGTACTGGAGAAGGGGATTATGATGCTGGCTGAGGGGAGGAGATGTGTGGGAGGTTACCAGGACAGGATTGGCTACTGTAATAATTACTGTAAATCCCTCCCTTGCATCCCTCCATGCTTTATAAGGAGACTGTGGATTAAAAGATTTCAGTTCTGCCCCTGAAACTGTGTGTCGTCCAGTTATTGGGATTGCTGTTGGGATATTGCTGTTATTTTACCTGCTGGAAACCTTGCCTGTGGATTTACTATTTACTTGTTCCTGAGCCTCACTTGGATTATAAGCGGAGATAACCTGGGGAATATTGCATCTCCGCTACACATACAAATACGGCTGCAGTTTCTTTAGGGTCCACACCACAGCCAGGCATTCCTTCTCGATGGCAGCATAGCTTACTTTGCGGGGTAGTAACTTGCGACTGATGTAAGCCACGGGATGTTCTCCGCCATCGGCCCCGACTCAGTACTGCCCCCAATCCAAACATAGAAGCGTCTGTGTGAACAAGAAAACGTTTAGTTGGATTGGGAGCTGCCAAGACAGGGGCATTTATCAGTGCATTTTTCAGATGTTGGAATGCTTGTTCACACTCAGGGTCCAGGTCACCTGGCGGGGCAGATTCTTCCGGGTCAGGTCAGTAAGGGGTTTGGCCAGGGCACTATAATTGGGGAAAAACTTTCTATAATACCCGGCTGTCCCTAGAAATGCTAAAACTTGTGTCTTAGTCCTAGGGGTGGGCCACTGTGCCACGGCCTCTACTTTGGCTGGTTCGGGCTTTTGCTTGCCGCAACCCACTCTATGTCCCAGGTATTGCACCTCGGCCATCCCTATACTGCACTTGGCCGGTTTCAATGTCAAACCAGCCTCCCTAATCCTGTCTAGGACCGCTCCTATATGGGCCAAGTGCTCCTGCCACGTATTGCTAAAAATGGCAATATCGTCTAGGTAGGCACAGGTATAGTCCTGGAACCCATCCAGGAGTCGGTCCACCATCCTCTGGAAAGTAGCTGGGGCGTTTTTCATCCCAAATGGCATGACCTTAAACTGGCACAAGCCAAATGGGGTGACAAAGGCCGACTTGGGGATGGCATCTGGGGCCAGGGGAATTTGCCAATACCCCTTACATAAGTCAATAGTAGTGAGGTATTGGCCCCTGACCATCCTGTCTAGTAGCTCATCTATCCGGGGCATGGGATAGGCATCAGACACGGTTTTCTCGTTCAATCTACTGTAGTCCACGCAGAAGTGAGTCACACCATCTCGCTTTGGTACAAGCACTACAGGAGAGGCCCAGGGACTGAGGGCTCAATTACCCCCAGTTGGAGCATCTCATTGATCTCCTTGCGCATTTTCTCTCTCACCGCTTCAGGGATGCGGTAGGGAGTCTGGCGCATGGATAGTTGCCCTGGGGTCTCTACCCAGTGAGTGGCCAGAGGGG